CAAGGGATGAGTAAGTATATAATGATGCATACTTCATAATGTTATCATGAAGATTAAGAGAGCATAAGAATGAAAAGTACATAGCACATAATAGATCCTCAATAAACAATAGTTATATCCATTTTACAGATGAAAGAATATGGATGCAGTAAGACTGATAACTTGCCCTAGATCATACAGTTTGCTAGTGGCAGTGGATTTTCCAGACCATCAGATCCACTTAGCCTAGTAGTTCTTTTGTGACAGAATTTACCATTAGGCCATTTTCTTGACATCTTTAAATGGGACATTGTTGGGACACATAGGAACTGGTCCCTGTGGCCACATTATAATTGGGACTTGGCTCAAGCCTTCTGCTGTGAATTTCTTCTCCAATTCAGCAAAAGGCCAACGTTCTCCAGGGTCTCTCTCCCCAGTGGTGTTTCAGAACTCTGGTTGGCAGTCACTGTCTTAAACTATTCGTCACAGGTATATGCAGAGGGAGGGGATGGCTGGGAGACGGAAAAGGGAAGGGTCATTTGTGGACTGATAGATGGATTCAAATGCAGAAAATACAGAAATCCAGTTTGTGAAGGATGATTTGTTCAGTACTTATTTTATGTCCAGTATATTCATTTTCAAAGCACTATAGCTTTTCTGAATGGAAATGTGGTGCTCAAATCAAACATTTTTTTTAATCCTCCAAAAACACCACTATTAAGCTGATCTTAATTAACACATTTTCTATTAACTAGAATTGATCTGAAATTCCGAATCCATCATGCAAGACATGAATAGAATTGGACTGCATGTTAAAAACATGCATACTTCAATGTTGTACACTTGCCTAGATCACCTTTAAAACAACTAAATGGTGAATATGTGACTAAATTACCACACCGTGTTCTCTGTTTAATTTCAAGGTTGAAGTATCTTTCCATCACAAATGTGGGTAAAACCCTAGAATGCTAGGGGACAGAATGGGAATTAATGGCTCTTTCTGTTGTTTTGATTTCCACATATTTGATGGCTTTTGTATAATTTGAATGATTGTAAGCTTCCAGCATGCTGATAAGGTTCATCTACATTATTCATTTGCATGAAGTGCTGATCAATTATAGCTTGTCCCTAAAATTAAAAAACAAATTCATCATCTCATCCTGCATCAGTAAAACTTAGGTTACTATTAGCTGTCTCTACTCTTTTTTTAACTAGGGAATTTCATCAATAAATTCCTATAAATATTTTCCTTTCTATTCTTCTTATTCTGACCTAGTCTGTGTTCCTTGCCTGGGTCTATTGTTCTTTATTTCACTCTTTCAGTCTGATTATTTTACTTTTAATATTTATTTCAGGAAAGCCTTTAATAAATATAATCAATATTGGAAGGTGATTGTTAATTCCATGGTTGCTGATTTACTGGAAGCACCAAAAAAATGCATACAAATACATTCTGTGATAAAACACAAAACTACTTCTTAAAAAGGAAAAATTAGTTTCTCCCTTTGTCTTGTCCTATAAGAAAAGCATGATGGTTAATTTTATGTATCAGCTTGGGTGGGCCACAAGATATGTAGCCAAATGTTATTCTGGCTGTTTCTGTGAGAATTTCTTGACTGAGATGAATATTTAAACCAGTGTACTTTGGGTAAAGCAGATTGATCTCCCTAACGTGGTTGGACTTCATTTAATCAGTTGAAGGCCTGAATAGAACAAAAGACTGACCTCCTCCAAGTAAGAGGGAATTCTGCAGCAAATGGCCTTTGAACTTGAGCTGCAGGTTTGACTACTCTGTGGGCCTCCAGCCTAACAACCCACCCTGCAGATTTTAGACTTATGAGCCTCCATAGTCACCTGAGTGGGCTCCTCAAAAT